GCATGCCTGGTCGGAGCCAGCACATCGGCGCCGCCTCGATGTCCGTCCTTTCTCCGCAATGCGCGCCGCTGCTCAAAACGGAAGCCCGCGACCACTCACCCACGAAAGGCCGCGCGCCAACTGACTTGGCAATCTGGAAAATAGGCGCTGCGAGAAGACCGGGCCAAGACGCGGGACCCTTCTGGAGGAGGAAGAAATAACGGCATGAACACAAATTGTCGGAGGACCGCGCGAATTTCATGGATCGGCGCTGGGCCCCCATCCCTGGCGGAGCGCGCCAGGAGCGGCGCCGGAGGCGCCGCCAGGGGAAGCGCTGCGCAAACTCAAAAAATCCACGCGGAGCACAGAATATTCTCATTTATGCTGTTGTTTCTTCCGCGATCTTCGCAAACACAGCACGCAACTACAACAGTGGAGCCAAATTCTCCGTCGAACTGCGATCTCGGCGTGCCCGGGGCTCTCTCGAAGGCTATCGAAGGTCCCGGATCCGCCATTCTAGGCGAAACTGACACTACTGACTGCCCAACTGGTGCCGCCTACTTTTCTGGCAATGCTGGCTACCAATGATACTCTCGCCACCACCACCACCACCACCACCACCACTACTTCTACCCGCTCACGGTCTCCAATATTGAACAGAACAACTAGCAAAAGTAAAAGCAAAAAACAAACAACCAAAACGATGGCGGGCACCTGATATAACTTTAGAACTTCGACACCGACAAGTGAACACGACTGAAATAAACTTAGAAATGCAAAACTTTAAAATGCCCCGCGGAGCCAAGCCAAGCCAAGCTCAGCTGGCCTGACTCAAAACCTAGAATCACAAACTAATTCTATAGCAGCACATGTCACAAATGCCCCCCACCCTCTTGCGGCAGCCATTGATGTCCGAAGTCTAAGCTTCAGCAACTGAGACGCGTAGCTCTTACTGGTTCACGTAGTCCAAGGGGGCAACGGGTACTGCGTGCATCATACTTATACATACAATATACACATAGTGTGATCTATATGTATATAAAAATTTAGATATGTGTATATGTGTAGATGTATGCATGTGAAGAGTTGTGCAAATGTACATACACACGCAGATTATGATAACAACTGTGGCGATCCTGTGCTGTCAAAGAAATCCATAAACCAATACTAAGAATACTGATGCTAAAAAATAAAAGTGATAAGACTAGTAGCAATTCGAATAACTAGTATTCTAAATATGTTTTGCAAATGTAATAACAACGCCAAAGAATTGCAACAAAAATGGCACTGATAAAGGTGCACAAGACTGCACTGGCGCGAACCGTGCGTCTTGGCCCTTTGAAAATCGCACGCAAGCGGCGGACATGCGTACATGTGTACATGCGTGTGTGAACACAAGTATACACGAGCACATGCATGCACAATTAAAGATGTAAACATTGACATGTAGATGTGCGTACACACATATGCGTCACACATCTGTACGGCTGCGGATACAAATACGTGCATGCGCACGCAGGAAGTGACATATGTATAACAGAAGAGCTTCAACATGCCAAAATATACGCGAAGTGGATAACAACACAATCATGACTGCACATGCGTTCCCGCCTCTCCTAGTCGCCCCTGCTCCCGTCATGCTACACCCTCCAGTGTGGGGCTTGGCGGAGGCCGCCGGAATGAACGCACGAGGAGGGGAGAGGAGGGGAAGGAGGCCGGTGAAGGCTAAGGGGGGTAGGAAGAGTTCTCTGTGGCCGATGACAGACAGGCAGGAACTCCGAGGGTCGCAAGCGAGTTCACGGAGGCTGGTACTGACACGTCTATACGACTCGCAGAGCTGGGCGCCGAGAGCTCTGAAAGACATGGAAAACTGACAGGGTCTCAATGATCGCTGGCTTTTCGGTCTTTTCTGGAGCCAGCTGAGGGCCTCGTGGAAGCCTCTTGGGCCGTCTTTGGGGCGCCGCGGGAGCCTCTGGGAGGATCTTCGAGAAGTCTCGGGCGGAGGATTCGCAATGTGTGATTGTCGGCCTCTAGAGTCTAGGTATAGGGGGGGCCTCTTGGGGCGATGTGGGGGCGCCGCGGGCGCCTCTCGGAAGATCATGGGGCGACTCTCGGGCCGAAGGGTTCGAAAAGTGAGTCCGTGCTCCCCTTCCTGGGCCTTATTGGAGCCTCCTTGGGGCTGTTTTGAGCAGCTTTGAAAACGTTGGGTGCCGTTTGGGCGGTTTTTTTTGGCCGTCGTGAGGCCCTCTTCTGTCGTTTTGGGCCCCTCATGGGGCGATCTTGAGGACTTCTTGGACCGTCTTGAAGCCCTCTTGGGTCATTTTGGCCCCCTATTGGGGCGGTCTTGTCTTGGGCCGTCTTGGAGCGTGGAAGCGTGGAAATGCGCGAAGGCCGAAGTTCTTCAAGTTCCTGACAAGGAGTGGGCGATTTTCGGCTATTGAGGCTTTCCATAGACCCCTCGCGGGCCTTTCTTGGTGCGTATTGGGCGCATCTTGGGCCGTCTGGAAGCCATGTTGCGCGCTTTAACATAATTTTGTGGTGTCGACGGAGTGTCTTGGGCAATAGTTGAAGCCTCTTTGGACCCTCCGGGAAGGCTGGAAGGCCAAAGGAAAGCTTTGCGGGGGGGAGTCCGAACGAACACCCAGGGGGGGAGAGTCCCGGCAGCCAGGAGATGCCGAAATTCGTTCGGGCGGGGGGGACCCTGTCAGGGGTCCACGGCACAATAAGAAATAGTGGCACCGGAATACATACACATTCATATATGCATGCACATGTATATATATATATATATATATATGTATAGACATATGCATGCACACATACATACATTCATGCATACATGCATGCATACATGCATACATGCATACAGACATACGTACACATCATATGCACACATACATGCATACATACATACATGCATGCATGCATACCTACCTACGTACGTACGTGCGTACATACAGACAGACAGACATACATATAACGTACAAACATGCATGCATGTATGCATACATACATGCATGCATGAATGTAAACACTAATACATACATCCATACGTGCATGTATACAGACGTACGCACATTCATTCATACATACATATAGTCATGAATACATGCATGCATACACACATACATTTATACATCCATATATACATGCATACATACATGCATGAATGCATGCATGCATGAATGCATGCATGCATACATACATGCACACATGCATACATACATACAGACATACATACATACGTAAGTACACAAACATACATACATACATACATACAGACAGGCAGGCAGACAGACAGACAGACAGATATGCATGCATGCATGCATGCATGCATGCATACATACATACATACATACATACCTACCTACCTACCTACATACATACATACATACATACATACATACATACATACATACATACATACATACATTACATGCATGCATACATACATACAGACATGCGTGCATACATACATGCATACATACGTTCATATACACACACATACACACATACATACACACATGCATGCATGCAGACATACACACATGCATACATGTTTTCGTTAATATACACGTACGTACGTACATACATATATGCATGCAGACCTGCACACATACATATATACATACATGCATGCATGCATGTATGCATGCATAAATGCATACATACATACATACAAACATACACACACACATACATACATACATACATACATACATACATACATACATACATACATACATACATACATGCATACAGGCAGACATACATACATACATACATAGTTGCATGTAAACATATATACGTAAACAGAAATGTGGGAGACACGCTACATATCCCTTGGCACCCCAAGAGGTGACCTGAAATGTGAACATAGCACCCCACTTAGCACGTTCACGTGGCCTGGAATGCACTACACGCTACACTGCACCTAGCAACCCACCACATGACCTCCCAGAAATCTGGGCGGATCCCAGAAATCCTCGAAGAGCTCCGAAAATGCACGCTTGTGCCGCATCTTCGTCTTCGAAGCATGGTGCTCTCGCATCCGTGCTGGCCACACTTTTCTTCCAGGCAATATTGCCCCAGCGCTGGCCATGCCACACCCATGGCTCCGAGTAGCGCCCCCGCCCCTGCGACCGTGCACCCCCTCTTGGGGACAACGACTCTCTCGCCCCAACGACGGGCACACCTCTGCTTCGGAACGGCGCCACCACATCAGCAACGGCCACATTTGTTCTGCGGTCTGCGGCGAGTTGGATCCAACAGCCGGTCAAGCAGACTGCGGGACGCACCCGTTGCGAACTGAGACGCAGCAGCGCGGGCGGGCCAGGGGCCGCGGGACGGCCGGAGAAGCCTCAGATCGTGTAGACCTTCGGGATGTGCCTGGCAGCAACGGCCACACCACTGACTCAAAACTTCACTCTCACCCAAGCGCCAGCTTCACCCCTAGGGACGACCACTGGCGCTCTCGCCCCGCGCGCTGACCCTCGGAAGGGCGCTGCCACCGCAGCACCAGCCGCACTACTGCTGGAGCATAGCCCTGCCTGTCACGCTCCGGGCTCCGAGTGGCGCTCCCGAAGCAGCCCCGCCAGGCCTTCAAGAGTTCACACGGAGCTGCTCTCGCCCCGGCGCCATCCAGACGGGCCCCAGCAGCGTGCTCTCGTCTCCGCTTCCGCCACGCTCCAGGCGCCGAGTGCCCCCCTCGCCTCAGCCCCTGCCACTCTCCCACTCAGCAAACAAACTCAGCTCCTCGCGATGCTGTCGCCTCGGCGCCGATCGCATCCCCCCTCAGAATAGTGCTCTCACGTCAGCGTCGAATGCACTCCCAGTGCAAAATCCCAGTACAGAGGTAGCGACAAGAACAGAGGTAGAGAAAAAGAAATGATGATACAACCATAGACGGAGTCGGAGACAGAGAAGGCAGACTTGGTTCGGTACGGTTTACGTGTTTGGGGAGGAGTGAACGCGGCCAGTGTCTCTCACCATAGTGTGGCTGGCCAGCTGCAACATTTGATGTAAAGACAATGTAGCCTGTTTGCTACTGTCGCCTTCGGGACAATCACAGTGCAGTCATCTGCAGCGCGGCCACCGCTGGTACAGCCAACCATGGAAACAGTTCTGCTGCAGTACAATCGCCGCAAGGCCACTCGAGGTGCAGACATGTTTTGCAGATTTACCTTCCAACCATAATTTGTTATAATATGTTTGCGGGCCCGTCGCACCGAAGGTCACAACTGTTACAAGCACCTTCTTCACAACCACCTCACTACCACCTGTGGCGGGCTCGCCTGTGGTGCACTCACCTTACCTGTCATCTTCGATAAAACCTATTAAACTGACTGCGTAGGGGGTTCAACCTCGATTAGCCACGGCGACCGCCGCCGGGCCCTTGGCGCGAGCATGGTTGCCGTGACCCTCATTACTATTGCTCCTCCTCGTCCGCGATCCGATCCAGCTCGCCATCGCGCTCGGCCTCGATCATCTTGGAGTAGGCGCTCTTCTCGCCCCCGCCCGTGTTGAAGTCTTCGAGCTGCTTGAAATTCCTGCGCTTGGCGATCAGCGGCGCTAACGCCGGCGGGTACTGCCCGACGCAGTACCAGCTGCCGGGGGCGTCGCACACGCGGTTCGCAGGGTTGTCGACCCACTCCTTCGACTCCAGCGACACGTTCTGGACCTCATAGATCCTCAACAACCCGTACTCGGAGATATACGCCTCCTTGAAGTGCTTCTGGCTCAACTGCGGCCTTCCAGGCTGCATGCCGCCCACGACGGCCCTGTACAGGAACGACTTCGCCATCATCGGGGTCGGATCGCCGTCGGGGCCCGTGAAGCTGAACTTTCGGCACATCGGATCGTCGTCGCCGCAGTGGTCCGGGAACACGGAGTTGCCAATGCGAGCCAGGTGTGGACTCTTGCCGAGGTCGTCGCCGTGCCCGCCCTCCGCCCACACGAGGGCGTAGTCGGCCAGGTGGCGGATGGCGTTCCAAGCGGTTCTCTCGGGGCTCGTCAGGATCTTGCCCAGGGTGGCTATGTGCTCGTGGTTCCACGTGTTGCCGTCTGCTATGGAGGTGCGGTTGCCGACGCCCGTGATCTGGTAGCCGTAGTCCCACCAGGCGATGACCCTGGCGTCGGGCTTCGTGTTCTTCTTAAGCCACAGGTATCCTTGGTAGTAGTCGTCGATGATAGCCACCGAGCCATCCTCCATCCTGTGCTGGAACATGAGCATCGGGTTCGCCGAGTGCTTCGCGTACATCTCGCAGTGCGCGTCGAACTCGCGAGCGTGCGGCAGGACGTGCACACACACGCCGAGCAGCACGGACGCCGCCACTCCGGCCCGCACCGGCCTGTCCACGATCGGCCACCGCGCCGCGAAGCCGTCCCTGAGGGCCAGCGTGTCCGCGAGCTCCCGAGGGAAGAACAGCGACCCCGTGTAGTGCCACAGGGTGCGTATGATCGAGCCCATGCCTCCCGACCTTTCGGGCTCGGCAGCCTCGACCACCGGGTCGGGCTTGCCGAGCAGATTCAGAAGCTGCTGCACGCACCAGTCCACCACGATGCCGACGGGGAAACCGGCGAGCACAGAAACGATCGGTCCACATATAATCATCAGGCGGGACATCTTCATGGAATAATGATATGCCACCACCGCGTACAGCACCACCAGCAGCTTGCTGGGGGACGCCTGGTGCCAGCAGAACAGGAGGCCCACCACCGCAAGGTATCTCGGGCTCCCCAGGAGCACCACGTAGGCCTGCGCGCTGGCTGGCTGGTGCTCCGCCACCGAGTCCACCAACGGGTTGCCCGTCCGCTGAGCCTCCAGGAAGAGGCCGCGGATGCGGGCCCCCAGCGGCGTGAACACGCCCCGCTGCATGAGGACGAACGCCACCAGCACGCCCAGCAGGGCGGCCGCCGAAAACACGCACGCGCGAAGGCAAAAGAAGCCGCGGCCAGACATCGGCCGTGCTCTTCTTGCTCGGCTCCTCCGGTAGATGTCACACGCCTCCAGCATCTGGTAGGCCAGGAAAACGAGCAGGGACGGCATCTGCTCCAGCGAGCGGAGAGGCGCGAAACCGATGACGGGCACCTGCATAGCACCAGCAGTGCCGATGAGCCAATAAATGGAGTAGGCCCTGTGGTATCCACTGCAGTACCTGCCGACGCCGACGATGACGGCAGCGTGCAGGCCTATCAGGTTGTTGATGAAGATGTAGCCCCCCCACGTGGCGGCGGCCGCCGCGTAAGCGATGCCAGCGAGGACCGCCCAAGGCCAGGAGCGAGGGGTCCGCACACAGCGGCACCACAGCCAGAGCACCAGGCAGAAGGCGCAGACAGCCACGCACTCGTTGTCGTATTCGCCAGCGACCGACCTCATGAGGTGTGCCGGGATGACAGACATCACAAACGCGGCGGCCACCCCAGCGCTTGAGCTGCCGGACACCTCCGCCGTCAGCAGGTAGGTGAAGAAGGTGGCGCCGCAGCTGAACCAGGCTGGCGTCATGCAACAGACGTCATTGAGGCTCATCGGCCCAATCTCCAAATACTTGCCTCGGTTAGGAAAGTAACTCATGTATTCTTTGGGCATGTACGGCAAGAGGTGCCTGCCTGGCCTAATCTTCAGATCTGGGAGGTAGTCCATCGCGTATTTTATCCACACGGAGGCAAACTGCATGCCTGGATAGATGGTGGTGCCGATGGGCCTCCCGATGGGGTACCAGCTCATGTAGTCGTACCACCTGAAAAAGCTCCGCCAACCGTGCTGCGCCAGATACTCGGCGGCGCGGTAGTTGAACCAAGGATCGAACTCGTGGATGACCATGCCGAAGGTGTTCACAGCGTGCATCCGAATCCGGTAGGTCCTCATGCAGCACGCGGCCACCGCCGCCAACCTGGCGAGGCCCACCGCCGCACCCAGGAGCAGGCGCAGCAGGCGCCGCGGCGCGCCCAGCATCTCCGCGGGGCACCCTGCGCCGCCCGGCGCCACGCAGGCCCTCCCCCCCGCGCGCACCGGGCGGCGGAGCCCGCCCCGCCCACCCCGCCTGCGGGGGGGGGGAGCGTGGGCCGAAGTGGCTACGGTCCGGGGAGGGGGAACTGGGGCGGCCAACCGCAGCTGGGTCGTGGATGTCGCCGCCGCCCTCGTCGGATCAGTGAGGAACCCTCCAGGGCCTGCCTCCGGGGCGCAACGCCTGAGGCAACGCCCCCACCGCAGTTGGCCCTGGGATTGTGGATGCCACGACAATGGACACCCTACCAGTCCTATCCTTGAGTCTAAAATGTGGCTGAAATGTCGGAAACATGCTCTACACATGTTTCAAACATGTGTTTTACATGTTTTTTAAATGTGCTTAACACATGTTTTAGACATCTGGAAATGCTTTGGCAACATGCTTCCTCTCACTTGATCGTCCTCCACAACCCCTGGCGGGGGCGACTCGTCGCCACGGCCCGACGCAGCTCGGGGAGCTGGTGCGTCCGGACCCCGGGAGAGGTCCGGGGACCGACTCGGAGCCGCCAGCGTCTCGGCTCGCCGGGCTCCGAGGCGGGCACTCGGCACGGCCACCCCTGCGGTGCAGGCGCCCGAGAGCGCGCCCTGTGCGCCCACGAGGCTGCGAGTCAGGCAGGGGCACGGTGGGGGCATTGGATGAGGAGCCCTTGGAGAAGGAGCCCAGGGTCTGCAAGCCAGTGGAACCTCAATCGTGGATCGGCCAGGGATATCGCCGCCGCCCTCACTGGATGGGGAATCCTTCAGGGTCTGGCGCTTCCTGGGCACATTCCCGAGCCAACGCCCCCACCGTGAGCTCGAGGCACAAAAGACAAGGGCAGAGGGAGGTGGTCACAGGGCAGAGGCAGGCGTCCGCTGCTGCGAAGAGGCCGCTGTGCGTGAGGAGGAGGAGGAGGAGGAGGAGGAGGAGGAGGACGAGGAGGAGGAGGAGGAGGTTGTTTCTTCACCTTGCGAAGCATTGCGGTGCCCACTCCCACCGAACCGAGGCCACCGCGCGCCCGCGATGGGCTTCGCGTCCCGCCCTCTTTTGCGTCCAGAAATGGCGCCACGAGCGGGGTGCTCTCCAAGAGCCTGCTGGCCCGAGGACGGCTCCACCTGGCACGCGGCTGGCCCCAAACCCCCTCCTGACCCTCCTCCGACGCCCAGAAGGACACCCACAGGTCGGCACCACGCCCCCCGACGGCACCCCAACGCAACCTGAGCAGCCCCAGAGCCCCCCCCCCCTCCAGTGGCCGTCCACGAGGCCCCGTTTCAGACTGAACATGAGACCGCCACCATCCCCCCTGGCACGTTGAGGCGTGGTAGAGTGCCCAGGGCTGCCTCGTTGGGTGTCTGTAATGTTCTAAAGGTACCCCCCCGCTCTCGAAGCACCCACCCGTATGCATCGCCCACCCCCCCGCCCATCAAAAAATATTTGACTGGTCCACGCTCCCGAGGACACGAGCCCTCGTAAAACTAAAACAAAACATGGATCCGCGCTCCCGAGGGCACGATCCCACTGTACAAAAAGGATCCGCGCTCCCGAGCTCCCAAGACGGCTGCGGCAGGCAACCAAGACCGCCAAGATGGCCCAAGACGGCCCCACGGTGGCCCAGCATGGCCTCAAAACGGCCCAAGTGAGTATCGTGCAACCGATTCCCATCCCCAGCGGCGTGGCCTGGGCCCCACTGGCCGAATTGCCCCCCTGGATGGGGATATAGGCCGTTCCCTTCGGGCTTCGAGGGGTGTATCCCCAAGTGGGGTGGTAATTTGGTGGGGGTCTCGAAGGGGATGAGGATGGGGATGGGGGTCGGTTAAACAATACTGTCCAAGAGGGCCGCGAGAGGACCCCCAGCAGGGCCCGAAGAAGCCCAAATCAGTGGTTTACCAACAAAGACCTTGAAATGTTTTGCTTCTCTCCGCCTTCCCGGGCCTCCGACAGGCCCACGAAGATCAGCCCAAGACTGCAGGGCTCCTCCAGGGGCCCAAGAACCCATCCTTCCGCCTCAAAGATGGCCCCAAGACCCTCGGAAAAAG